TAAAATATATGAAAAAAAGTAATGAAAAAAACATAAAGAATAATTGGGCATTATTACTATTGAGATTGGCTGACATTTAATAGGACAAGCAGCCAAAGAGTAATCTCTGAAACTTAGAAGCAAAACAGCAACATTGCTTGCTAGTTATTGTGGTAACAAGAAATGTGTACTTCTCCAGCTACCAGCTTATGACCGTAGACAGACTTAGGTGATGGGATTATAAACATACTCAGTAGTGTCTGAAAAGAGTTTAATTTATGAAAAAGCATTATTAAATAAAAATTCAATGCAATATGATATAAGAAATGTACATGGAATTGAAAGTGTATATACATGTAGATTGATATTTTTATGATCTCAAGATCACAGACCATTGGAGTTAAAAAAATGTGCTTTAATTAATTAACCAATCATCTGTTATAAAACTGTTAATGTAAGTTTCTACTGGGGTAATATGTAAATTTAACAGGAGAGGGGAAAATTCAGAGATAGAGCTAAAATATGGCATCCATGTTTTGGCTGTTTTACATAACCTTACTTGTTTTAATTCAAGTTTTGTTTAAGCAAAAATAATCCAACTATTTGACAGAAAGAAATTTTCAATCTTTTATTTTCGTTTTATCTTAATATGGAGAAAATGTTGTTTTATTTTTATGCAAAGATTAAAAAAAAATCATACATAAGTAGATTGAGGACATCATGTATCTCAAACTACAGATAATTAGAATAAGTTAGTAAGCACTCAAGCTTACATGGAAATAGTGAACAGTGATTATGTAATATCACTTTTGTTCAGGTGGACATTAAGCTTTGGATCCTTGCATGTACATGTAATATGTACTAGTAATTGAATATATGCATTTACATATGTCATAATTGAAAATTTATGTCAGGCTCAGCAAGGAATACCATGATAGATTGCATTACATGACATTATAATTAATGTCATGTAATGCAATCTATCATACTTATAACTATAATAGATCAACTTTTGACTAAAATTGGTCAGCTGTAAATGGCCATTTGGATATTTTTAGGTTGTTCCAAAAATTGACTGCACATGCCTAATATATATTATGATGTGTCAGATTCAACTGGTGGAATGATACATTTATGGCTTCATTGGTACATAGCTAGATACCACTGAAAGATGATGTAGCATTGATGGGAAATAATTCAGGACACACTAATGTACATGGATGATGGTCTGTTGCTGAATGCATTAAATCAATAATGAAGCCTAGCTCAGTAAATCAGAAATAAGGAGCGAGTCAGTTTTAGAGTGTGTGTTGTGACAGCAGTGGTAATTGCAATTACATTATAGAGTACATTTTTCCAGAGTACTGCTATTCAGGTGTTGTATTTTCTTTTCAATTTGTGACTTCTGATAAGTTGTAATTACATGAGTCATTTGCAGTCTGTGCATGAGAAAATGCAGTCAACATTAATCCTTATGGACTGAATGGTTACCCTAGATCTTGTCAGTTAGATCAAGCCAGAAACCTCTGTGTTAGCATTAAAAAGTGGGGTTGAGGAAAAGGGAAATGCACACATGCAAGCACTCAGAGTTGTTCAATCAGAAATTTATCAAGGGACTGATATAAAGATGTTACACAGTGCCAGGAGATATTTTGAGTAAACATAGCCATTAGTTATAAGAAAAAAAAACTCGATAATGGGCTGTGTTCACAATAAAAAGATAAGATTAAAAATGTTTGCAAATAATTTCTGTGCTAAAGCTCTTACTTCATAAAATAATTATACTCAGGACTGATATTATTGTCTCAGAGGAACCAATGTTACTCAGAATACCACTGTTGAATCATCACCAAGTGGAGATGATTGGAAAGATTGCACACTAATGTGGCCAATTTGGAAAGTCATTGTCAGTGAAATCTGAAAAAAAAATCCTACATTATGTTTTATCTTCTTGAGTTAGGCAGTCACTACCTCTTTTAATAAATAAACATACAAGCATGTGTAAATAGAATAAAAATGGCATGATTACAAATATAGAACACAATGGGGCTGCTGCTTTTAAAACCACTCGCCCTAAAACCAATACAAAAAGGTAATTTATCTGATTACTATCGAACTGCACATTCACCTCGCTCCTCCGCACACAGATTAGCTGAAGCTCTGTGCCGATTATGGAATGTTTTTAGTCACAGGATGCCTTATCATCACCTGAGCTTGGCAAAGGATGATATACTGTGCTAATTTAATGCAGTTACTGGTAGCCAACTTTATAGTGGACAGAGCGCTGAAAAGAGATAAAAGCGTGCATTTTTCTTGATTCCATTAATTGCATTGTTGGAGTGGAAACGGCCATTTACAGCATGAGCTTCGGACATTGTTTACAGGTAGCAGATAACTAGTATGCAATACATTAAGTATCTGTAACAACACTGGTAGATCAGTTACTCTTTACGTCAACTCAGGGAAATATGACATATTTTTGTGACGTTTAGAAGCAGGATTAGTTTCAATTGCCTGTGTTCACCTTTTGGGAAGATAACCTGCAAGTGACGAGGAAACCTCTTGTAGCAGAGAATGTAAAACACTGATGGGTTACTAAAGTTGAAAAAACAGGATATACAAATACTAGAGCGAGAGCATAACTTGTTTATATTTTATGGTAACATCATCCAGATAATCAACACAACATCGAACTATGCTACCATGTACATGTTTTCTTCTTTAATATTCAATTGTAATTGGACTCTGGACTAAAAAGTGACAGAAACAAGTAGTTTTATGAGTGCTTAGGCACAGGATCAGTTACAGTGCATAGTATCATCTAACATTCTGCTCCATCAAACATACAGTACTCTTCATGACTAGCAGCTTTGTGAACTTCATGCATTAATGGTAGAGTGACATTCTTTCCTGGGGTACTCAAAATTGAAGGAGTACTAGCGTTACATCATCGAACCTTGACAGGTACATTCTACTATATTGCACTCACATTGGAAGAGGATTTGTGAATAAAGAATTCAATATGTGCATCACAGGGAGAAAGCAGTGAATAGCAGTTTTTGCATTTAGCCAATTTTTGGTTCAGGTGTGATGTATTTCCACTAATGCAGACATAGTGCTTGCTGATAACAAAAAATTGCTGAATAATATAGGATGTTACTTTTTTTTTCTTATGTGGTGATAAAGGAAATGAACACGTGTGTAAAATAGCCAGACATAATTTAGGGCGCAAGGTTGGACTGCAGCTTCTTGACAACATTTTTGGAGAGCATTGGATATTCTTAAGTGAGCAGTACAGAGAAATAAGGTCCAAATGTTTTATTGCTTTTTTAAAACTGTTAAAACTGTCAGTTATTTGGATTGACTCCATATGTGACAATTAATTGTTGATTATATGCATCCTTGATGAAAACTTTCCCTTTTTTAGAGGTATAGGCAATTATAATTTTTATGGAGGCAGAGGTATCAGATGTAATTAGATGTGTTAGATACATGTACCTGGTAATTGATAAGAATATAATTGTCTTGAACTTGACATCCAAATATTATTTTCTTACCAGGTGTTATAGTCTTCTTGAATGACAGTGGAACCTACTTACCCGTAGGAGATCTGGTCATGTCAGTACAATAATTTCAATAATGGACAACTTTAGTGCATGTAGCAAAAGAAGTTGTTGCTGTGGGGAGTTAACCTGAAGATACTTTACCAGCAGATGAATGATCACCTGAAAAATGATAATACCATAATTGAAAGCATTAACGCACATACAATTTGACAGTATTATAAAAAGAGGGGATAGACCTCTGAATAACAACTTCAACAACAACTGGAATACTCCAAACAGTTTGAACTAATTTTAAAAAAAGTTGACAGAGACTTGAAACAATACTGGCTGGAAAATATTGGGTCACCTGAATAGTATAGTCCGGACAGTACCCTGGATAAAATTTTAATGAAGGAAAGCTCTTCAGGGAATGGATCATGTATCACCTGCTCAATGGATCAATACATGAAAAAGATCACATTGGTTTGAAAACAATAGAAAGTGGGATACAATCAACTTGATTGGATTTCATTCAAAGGGTATATATGTTCCAGGCGAGGTTTGTGTCAACGGTGAAAAATATATCAGAGGCACTCTTGATAGATGAATATTTCTATGGTATTTACTCTCCTTATTGTTTGTACTTATTGATAGTATCTACAGAAGTAGATAATACCACCTGAGGAGCATTTCAATAGAATTATAACTGGGTGATATTTCCAGTATATAGGAAGTGTTTGTTTTATAATGCAGTAGACTATAAATGATACATGAATGCCTTTGATTGTATTGTATTAACCTGGAGTTAGGGAGTTTGGCTAAATTCTGTTTCTGAAAGAGTACAACACAGAGTAAACTGATGCTTTTGCTGTATTTTGGATATATTCCTCAACTGCAGCATATGTACATTGAACAGCTGAACAGTGCACCAGTTAACTGATAATAGATTTTTGCTGAGAAAATAAGTATCTTTAACATGGAGCGACCAAGTACAATAGACAATTTAATAGCAACTCCAGAAAGAAACAGTTCCTATGGGAGCATTGGAACTGCTGTAAAGTTATTAGTTGAACAAACTGATACATGTTCTAGAGTGCTCATGGTTGACAAAGTGGACAAAGCTATGGGTAAGTGGCTGGCCCATTTCACCAGTTGTTCCCTCTGTATAACATGCCTTCTCCACCTTGTCCACCTCTTCAGTCTCCATAAAAAGAAAGAGACATCATTTCATACAGTACACTTGTACTAAATTGGAAGGAATAGATGTGGTAAATGGGTATATGGAGAAAAAAAATTTGCAGTGGTAGAGTGAGGAAATGGATCAAGAAGAATTTAAAAATATGATTGATGATCTAAAACCATTACATAATTGCAACTGCTGTAACTTACCATTGACCTAATGTACAAGTATGTTTATTATCCCTATATAACAACATGACTGTTCTTAAAATGTGATTACTATTGCCTACAGCCCCTGAACTAGTAGAAGAGGGTACCATGAACTACCAAAGGTTTGATGATGAGGAAGAAGAAGACATGGTTATGCCGCCAAAAGCACAAAATGAAGAGATCATGACGGAGGTGCGCCTTGACCAAGATGGCGTCGATGTACAGGTATAGGTGCTTTATACATGTCGATTGTGTTAGCAATAGTAGAGAATGGAAGAAATAAACTGAAAATAAATGGCGAAAAATTTGACCAAATATATTATATTCTGAAGTACATAAGTTAAGTTGTAAGTGCTTATTTTATTTCATTTTTTGTTAGAATTACAAAAGCTTTTTGAAACTCAATTAAGGGAAATTGGTGTTATAGGGTAGGGGTATGATGTAAAAAGGCCATAAGAATTAACTGATGAGGATACTTATTCCATAATATAAGTGCGCTTATCATAAGGCCATGCTTTGATTTGCTACTAGTACTTATTACAACTTTATTTTTTCGAGATTTGTGTTTTAGTTGCATGATCCTAGATCTCATGGTAAATTTCTTTTATTTTACTAGATTGTTTCAAGTGATAAACATGTCATACGTGCATCTTCTGGGACCAATGGTACTTTTTACGATACAGAGGCTCAGCAAGGGGGGCCACAACACATTGAGGATCCTGCAGGGGACCGTTACACAGCAGAAACACCTCTGGAGTAAGACATGTCTATCTGTAATTATTTCTTTTTTTTCTCTCTTTCTCTTTTAATTCTGGCATGCCTTCCTTCCTTTTTCATTTCTTTCTTCTTTCTTTCCATCTTTGAAATTAGATTGAAGCATTGGGTGTGAAACAATATCAAGTGTTTTGTAAGTTGGCTGAAACTATATTTTAAAAGTGGCAAACTGATCAGTTTCATTCCAGAAAGAGGCATTTGCATAATTTAATCACTGCAACAGATTAAATGTGTTTTGGCCATTATCCTTCACTTGTGGGTTTGATTTTTGCTCGACTTCCTTCCACATTGCATGAATTGTGCTAACACATCCTATGGGGATATGATTCATGTTCAGTGCAACATTGATGTAAAGATAACTCATACAATGGGTCATCTGATTGCCAACAGAGCTCTGAAAATATCTATTTTTACCTATATTTCAAAAGATAAGAATAGTCGCTGAAAACAAAAGTGCAAAGCAGTGTGTATATATATTCGGCATGCATGATGCAGAGAGTGTATGGTCAAGCCTGAGTTAAGATTCAATTATAGATTGAATGACTTCCTAACCATTGGAAATGGATTGGATTAATGTCTTCTGTCTGGATACACACATTTGATCAGTAAAATTTGTTCTCATGATGTTTCACTCGTCTGAGCAGAAAGCTGACAAAAGCCTTGATCTAATCAGTTGTGCCAATGTACTGTATAGTCTTATCCTTAGTAAATATGCACAGTATATGTCTGTAGTATGCTACAGAAATTTTATACAAAAGAACACAATAAATACACAGATATCAACCTTCTAGTCACATTTACACAAATGGTTTGGTTGCCTTGGTTATTGGTGACAATTAGTGATCACTTGTATATCACATATTAATTGTTCAAGTGACCCAGAGAGTGTATTGAGACCTACATCCACCTTCATTACTTTTGTCCAGGGTGTAAAATCTCAGGCTATTTGTAATCTGCCTTGTTTCATGGTAATTTCATCCATATAATGATTATGATTTATAAACTATAGAGCTGAATTCTAAATGTAGGGGGTATAGAATACACAAAAGAATGGAATGTCTCTCCTTAAATTATTTTGATTAAATGTTTGTATAAATTTTCTATATTGCAAATCCATTTCTGTATATCGGAACATATTTTTATTACAAAATACTTTGTCAAATGGAAAATGTTTTCTAAAACCTCTTTTAAGAGGTTTAAAAATGGAGCTGGCTTTACAGTACTCTTGTTATACACAAATGTTAAATAGATATCGAAAGTAAAAAAATGGTTATTTGCCCAAAATAATTAGGTTGAAAAAACATAGAGGTCAATGGCAACATAAATAACAGTATGCACTTTGCCAATTTAAAATATTTCAGGAAAAAATATATACATTATATAATTTTTCTCTCTCCCTCTCTCTCTTTTAGACATGCACAGTTAATGGTGAGGAAGGTTGTAGAACATATTATCTTCAGACTGGTCACAATGGTGCTCATTCTCATAGACATTGTACTGGTGATAGTTGACATATCAATCACGACAGACAGCAAGAAAGGCTTTGATGTTGTTGCTCTCATTTTCTCATGTTATTTTATGACAGAGGTTATTGCTAGGATATTTGGGAGAGGGTAAGTTCAAACTTTATTCCTGACTTTACGCTCATTACAGGATTCCTGCTCGCAAAAAATATGTATTGTGGGTAAAAGTGCTTTTTGTTTTGTCACTCTGTGTGTTTTATAGCTATGACCAACTCATTCTTATACTTTTTGGATTCTCAGGATGATTGGAATAAGTCTTGCTATTTAAAGAATACATGCCTATATGAATAAAAACTATAAAATACAATCTGCATTTACAAAAATTTACCACAAAAAGCTGACAGGGCTTAGAATTATACAATATTTTACTTAAATTTTTCATCGCTGTATCAAACATTCGCTGTAAGTTGTTAAGATGTCAGAACCGCACAGCAATACTAACATAAAATTGTATTGAAAAATCTTCTTAGAAAAAAAGTATTTTAGGAGAATGAAGAAATCATTTCTTCAAGATAACTAATTGTTTGTTTTTTTTGTTATTTTTCAGCCCAAAACTGTTCTTCAAAAACTGGGTGGATGTGGTTGACTTTGTGGTGGTGTTGATAGCCTTCATTTTCACTCCTATATATACAGCTTTAGATTTAAGAAACTTACAGCAGAATGCTGAGTTGGGAAAGTAAGTCAAGTTATTGTGGTGTTTTATGTAGAATTGTGATTTTTATTTATTTGATGTAAAATATTAACGGCACTGGGAACATATTCTTTGCTCCTTTTGTTTAAAAGCACTTTTCAAAAATATTTTATAAGGGGATATTTTACTAGTGAACATTTTTCTGTTTATACATTACATCAGTTTTAATCAGAAAATATGATTTAGGTGTATGATGATGTAGTATGAAAAACTAAAAGTAATGTTTAAAATAATTTAAACAAAAAATTTCTAAACTAAGGTTTTTGTTGCTGTTTTCAGACTAGTTATTGCTGGCCGTCTGATCAGAGGCATACTCATCATTCGAATCATTTACACGGAGAGAAAGAATGTTGCTAAGGCCTCTCGACTGATGGTCTCAGAAAACAAGAGAAGATACCAGAAAGATGGTTTTGATCTGGATTTATGTTATGTGACAGGTATGTGTTCATGAAATGTTCAGTTTAGCTTTTTTTGATGGAGAAATTTACCAAAAAGAGGAAAAGGGTTTTTTTTTTTTTT